CTGCACCCGCAGGGTGACACCCGACACACCTGGGGGGACATCAGTGTCACCCACAGCCCTGTGACAGACTAACCCCCCCGCTGCACCCGCAGGGTGACACCCGACACACCTGGGGGGACAGCAGTGTCACCTGGAGCCATGGGACACCCTAACAGCCCCGCTGCACCCGCAGGGTGACACCCGACACACCTGGGGACAGGGACAGTCACAGTGTCACCTAGAGCCATGAGAGACCCTAAACATCGCCTCTGCACCCGCAGGGTGACACCCGAGACACCTGGGGACAGGCACAGGGACAGTGTCATCTGCCACCCTGGGACAGCCTCACTGCACCTGCAGGGTGACACCCAAGACTCCTGGGGACAGGGACAGGGGACAACAGTGTCACCTACAGCCCTGGGACACCCCCTCTGCAGCAGCAGGGCGACACCGGAGACACCTGGGGACAGCAGTGTCACCCACAGCCCTGACAGCCCATAAACACCCTGCTGTCACCTTACAGAGCAGCAGGGGACAGCGACAGGGGTGACACCCCACAGGTGCCACCCCTGGCAGTGCCACCCCCAGTGCCACCTTGCACCCGGGGCCAGCTGTCACTACCCGAAATTCACCTGGGAACCCCAAAATTAACATGGGGACCCCGAAATTCACCTGGGAACCCCGAAATTCACCTGGGAACCCCAAAGATCACCTCTGGGACCCCAGCCCCACAGCCCTGCCCATGCGGATCCACTGGATCCCCGAGGCATCGAGGGGCTGCTCCCAGGGCAGCGGCACCCCCAGCTCCTGTGAGACCCCAAAAGTCATCAGGGGAACCCCGAAATTCACCTGGGAACCCCGAGATTCATCCAGGGACCCCCAGCCCCACAGCCCTGCCTGTGCGGATCCACTGGATCCGGGACGAGTCCAGGGGCTGCTCCCGGGGCAGCGGCACCCCCAGCTCCTGGGGGGGACCCCGAAATTCACCTGGGGGACCCCAGACCCACAGAAACACCCCCAGCTCCTCTGGGACCCCAAAACTGAGCTCCAGATCCGTTTAGGGACCCCAGACCCATTTGAGGACCCCAGGCCCATTTGAGGACCCCAGACTCATTTGGGGACCCCCAGACCTCCTTGGGGACCCCAGACCTCCTTGGGGAGCCCCAGACCCATTTGGGGACCCCCAGACCCACAGTAGGACCCCAGACCCATTTGAGAGCTCCAGACCCATTTGGGGACCCCAGACTCATTTGGGGACCCCCAGCACAGGTTGAGGGGGGGGGCCCAGAGGGGTCTGGGGGGTCCCCGGGGGCATCCCGTGATTTCCCATGGGGGTCCCTGGGAAAGGCATTTGGGGGGTCCCGGTGGGTGCCCTTGGGGGTCCCCAGGAGAGGCGGGTCCCGGGGGTACTTGGGGGGGACCCCGTGGGGGTCTGGGGGCTTCCGGTGGTTCCCAGGAGGGGGTCCCGGGGCTTGTTCCAGGGGGTCCCCCCCGTGTGGTGTCCTGGGATGTTCCCGGGGGGCTCTTGGGGGGGGGTTCGGGCGGGGGTCCCAGCAGGGCACCCCCCCCGTGTGGTGTCCTGGGATGTTCCCGGGGGGCTCTTGGGGGGCGGGGGTCCCGGGGGTCCCAGCAGGGCACTCGAGGGGTCCCGGGGGTCCCAGCAGGGTACTCGAGGGGTCACGGGGGTCCCGGGGGTCCCAGCGGGGCACTTAGGGGGTCCTGGGGGTCTCAGGGGTCCCGGGGGTCCCAGCGGGGCATTTAGGGGGTCCCGGGGGTCTCCGCTGTCCCCGCTGTTTCCCGAGGGTCCCACAGTCCCTGCCGTGTCCCCACTGTCCCCCCCTGTCCCCGCCGTGTCCCAGGGATCCCGGGGGTCTCTCTGTCCCCTCTGTCCCTCTGTCCCGGGGGTCGCGGGGGTCCCAGGGGTCCCGGGGGTCCCTCTGTCCCTCTGTCCCTCTGTCCCGGGGGTCCCTCTGTCCCCTCTGTCCCTCTGTCCCGCTGCCCCGGGGGTCCCGGGGGTCGCACCTCCTGCAGCACGCGGCGGATGCCCTCGGTGGGCGCGTCGCGGTACGCGGGGTCCTCGGAGAGCAGCTTGAGGACGCGGACGCGGCCGCCGGGGCAGCGGGCGAACACGTCCGTGAAGGTCCCGCCGCGGTCGATGGCGAACTGGAACCCGCCGGGGCCGGGCGGCGCCGCCATGGCGGGACGGGAGCGGCACCGGCAGCGGCACCGGGAGCGGCTCCGGGAGCGGCACCGGCAGCGGCACCGGCAGCTCCGGCCAGCGCCGGTCAGCGCCGGTCCCCAGCCGGGCCCCCGGTGGCCCTGAGCGACCTGAGCGCGGCCGAGGAGGCGGCCGGGGGCCCGCGCCTGGTGGTGGCCACGGTGGCGGGCAGCGGGCAGCTGGCGCTGTGCCAGCTGAGTGCCCGGCTGCACCAGGAGCGGCTGCCCCCGGTGCTGGACGCCGCCCAGGCCGCCTGCCGCGGGCTGCACGCCGTGCTGGACGGCGTGGTGAGGGCCAGGCTGCGCCAGGACACGGCCATGGAGCACTGACCATCCAACTGACCATTCACAGTGACGCCCAGGCCATGGAGCACTGAGTGACCACAGTGACCATCACAGTGACACCCCAGGACACTGCTATAGAGCACTGAGTGACCACACTGACCACTACAGTGACACCCCAAGACATGGCCATGGAGCACTGAGTGACCACAGTGACCATCACAGTGACACCCCAGGACACGGCCATGGAGCACTGAGTGACCACACTGACCATCACAGTGACACCCCAGGACACTGCTATAGAGCACTGAGTGACCACACTGACCACTACAGTGACACCCCAAGACATGGCCATGGAGCACTGAGTGACCACAGTGACCATCACAGTGACACCCCAGGACATGGCCATGGAGCACTGAGTGACCACAGTGACCATCACAGTGACACCCCAGGACACGGCCATGGAGCACTGAGTGACCACACTGACCATCACAGTGACACCCCAGGACACTGCTATAGAGCACTGAGTGACCACACTGACCACTACAGTGACACCCCAAGACATGGCCATGGAGCACTGAGTGACCACAGTGACCATCACAGTGACACCCCAGGACATGGCCATGGAGCACTGAGTGACCACAGTGACCATCACAGTGACACCCCAGGACACGGCCGTGGAGCACTGACCACCACAGTGACCTCCATGGGGACACTGCCATGGCACAGTGAGTGACCACTGGGACACTAAGGGGACATTGCCACAGAGCAGTGACCGCTGCAGGGACACCAGCATGGCATGGTGACCATAGTGACCACCATGGAGCAGTGACCACTGTGGGGACACCAGCATGGCACAGTGACCACTGTGGGGACACCAGGACACCAGCATGGAGCAGTGACTGACCACAGTGACCACTGCAGGGACACCACCATGGCACAGTGACCCAGGGACACCGTGGGGACACTGCCATGGCACAGTGACCACAGGGGAGGCTGTGGTGACCAACTGACCCCTGGGAGCTGCAGCGTGACATCACTGCAGTGACCAGTGCTGGGGACATGGGGACACTGGGGCTGTGACCCTGGAATGTCCAGTGCTGGGGACACTGGAGTGACCAATCCTGGGGACACTGGAGTGACCAGTGCTGGGGACATTGGGGACACTGTGGCTGTGACCCTGGAGTGACCAGTGCTGGGGACACTGCAGTGACCAATGCTGGGGACACTGTGGCTGTGACCCTGCAGTGACCAGTGCTGGGGACACTGCAGTGACCAATGCTGGTGACCCTGGAGTGTGACGCTGCGGGTTTTGGGGTGCCCCATGGCAATAAACTGGGCTGTGTCACTGCACCTTGTGTCCCTCTGTGTCACCTGTGTCCCTGTGTGTCACCTGTGTCCCTGGAGTGTCACTGCACCTGTGTCCCTGTGTGTCACCTCTGTCCCTGTGTGCACAGTGACACCCCAGGACACGGCCATGGAGCACTGAGTGACCACACTGACCATCACAGTGACACCCCAGGCCGCCTGCCGGGGGCTGCACGCCGTGCTGGACGGCGTGGTGAGGGCCAGGCTGCGCCAGGACACGGCCATGGAGCACTGAGTGAGGGCCAGGCTGCGCCAGGACACGGCCATGGAGCACTGAGTGACCACACTGACCATCACAGTGACACCCCAGGCCGCCTGCCGGGGGCTGCACGCCGTGCTGGACGGCGTGGTGAGGGCCAGGCTGCGCCAGGACACGGCCATGGAGCACTGAGTGACCACACTGACCATCACAGTGACACCCCAGGACACGGCCATGGAGCACTGAGTGACCACACTGACCATCACAGTGACACCCCAGGACACTGCTATAGAGCACTGAGTGACCACACTGACCACTACAGTGACACCCCAAGACATGGCCATGGAGCACTGAGTGACCAC